AGTATTCCTAGATGTTGTACCAGGAGAGATCCGGTTTGGCCCACTGAACTCGTGGGAGGCTGGCCCGCACAATACGCACACACATTTATAGGATTTGCCCCATGAAACCCACTGATTTCCGGACTCGCCATTGACAGCGCAGATCGTTCCAACTCTGCTTTACATCACATGGGGCTCGGGCGGGAAGCATCCATCGCATCAGGCCCCGCCTGCTACCCCCACCCAGGGCCCAATGTAACGCCCACTGCATTCAACAGGAGTCGTTTCAAAGACATCCGCAGGCTTGGGAGGAGGCTCCCCGCGAAGACACGGGAACCCCGAGATTACTAGTTGGGGATGCCCCTATTGCCACATACACCCTGCAGACACCGGAAAGGGGTCTGATTTAGAGAAAGTTGGGGCTCCCCATTTCAAAACCCAGGCCCCTCTTAAGGCATCTCCAAGCCCACAGAGTCGTTGACCTGACCAAGTCCTCTTTGCCTGTGCAGCACAGTTATGGGGTGAAGTAACTCGCTGCTCAGCAGGGATTTAGGCTTCCCTTGGAAATATGAAGGTTTGGAGGGGGGCTTCTAGGAAGCCTGATCCTGAAAGGGGCCATGTACCTGCGGCTGCCCGGGAACAGCCCCTTTGCTCTGAGAACTCACTAGGGGAGAGGGGGGAGATTTAAACCACTCTACCCCACCTTCTTGACCTCACAAGCCACCCACAGAAAGGACCAGCCGAGCCATGTGCTTACCGCCGGGCACCTTTAAAGCACAGCCCAAGCCGCGCAGCCCTTCTTGCCGGATTCGGAAAGGAGTGGGAGGACTGCAATTCCCCCAGAATAGAACGCACGGGCGTCGAGCAGGCTCCGATTCGGTACTGAGCTCACAGTGCTCTGTGCTACTCGGGGCAGGGATCTATTTATAGGGGAGATGCCGGGAGATTCCCTCGCCGGGCGAACCGCCTCTTTCCTGCAGCCTTCCATCGCTTCCCAGCTGGGAACCTCTTCCTCTCTGGGGCTTGCACCAGCCTTGGGTGAACATATTGCCTGGGCTCTGTATCTTGGGCAGCAGCTGCCAGACTAGGCTGCAGCCGCTTCCCAAGTCACTGGGGATACAGTGGGGGGCAAAGCCCACTGAGGTCAATGCACAAATTCGCAGACTGCGGCAGGCGTTGGGTCAGGCCCCAGATGGGGGGGATAACACCCACCTATAACAGGCACAAGAAGATCCCCTGTCCCCTCTGCAATACACATTCATACCATGGCACATCAACTACCCATTCAAGTTCCCCTGGGCCTTCCCCCCAGACATTTTGTCTCTTTTTCAGCCTCACAGACTTCAGCATAAACTTTGCCAAAAGCCCCTCTCCAGCCATGCCCCGACCAGTGAGTGGCTATGGAAGGCAGAGATCCATGCTCGTCCAACCTCAGAGCAGCAGATTGATTAGTAGCTTTAGTGACCAGTTTACTAACTTCCCTATGCAGTTTTGGAAAGGGGGGGAACCAGAGGGGGGAGAAAGAGAAAAGACCAGCGTGGCTCACAGAAGAATGGCTCAAAAGTGCTCCCAAGGAGGCTGGGTTCCCTGCTGTGGGTTTGAATTAGGCAGAGATCCATGCTCGTCCAACCTCAGAGCAGCAGATTGATTAGTAGCTTTAGTGACCAGTTTACTAACTTCCCTATGCAGTTTTGGAAAGGGGGGGAACCAGAGGGGGGAGAAAGAGAAAAGACCAGCGTGGCTCACAGAAGAATGGCTCAAAAGTGCTCCCAAGGAGGCTGGGTTCCCTGCTGTGGGTTTGAATT